CGAGCTACGACATGTACAGGCGGATCGTTGACATGAGGAAGTCCCTCCTTCGCCAAAATGGCCAGGGATCCAGCTGGAAGCAGAGCAATGGCAAGCGTCGTTGCAACAATAAGTAGATGATTAGATCCTCGTTTCTCCTACTTTAGTATTCATGTAATTGCTTTCTTTGGTGTGTGGAAATGTTATGTGTGTAGTCACTTGTGTAATTGTATGCTTAATTTGGTTATGCAATGTTGTCTTTTTAAGTATACATGTTGATGTTGTAGATAGAGTGTAGATGTTGTGCGGACAAAGAAAATCACATCGCACACGGACTAAACAATGGAACCCGTCGGTGATGTTTTCATCAATCACTCACAATTGTATACCAGCAATCGTTTGCTCACAACATACACGGCTTGTTAGCAGTAACCGTGTGTGTTGTTATCGGTCTTCGCACACGTCTCCGATTACAGACCTGTTTGCCTCGTATCACACACATCTTGTTCATTTGAACTGTTTCTGTTCTCATGTCTCCGCATGTCGTGTAACGCATACACCTTTGATCTGGTTGACCATTTCTTTTGTGTTGCCTAATCACAAACAATTCATCCGAGTGAACCGTATGATGTGTATCGCACACGCCTCCATCTGGCTGCCCGTTTGTTTTGTTCCTCCTCATCGCAAACAGTTCATTGAACTGAACCGTATGCCCTTCATCGCACACGCAACTAAAACCTGAACCCTGTTTGATGCATCCATCATCGCAAACGTTTTACACATTTCTGGCGGTTTTCATACAACACCATTTGCGATTATGGCATCGCACACAATTTTTCGAAGGGTCTCTGATCGTAGTGTCGCGTTAGCAGCATCTTGCAGTAGTGTCCTTATTTATTCGAGGGAAAATGGGCATATATACCAGAAGATGGGCATCGAAGGCTGGCCAGGGGCCCCACAAGCCACCAGGGCATGCCTTGGGGGAGTGGGTGTGCCCTAGTGCCTCGTGGGCACCTGGGTGGCCCCCTCTGGTATTTCTTTCTTCTAGTATTTTTTATTTATTCCAAAACAATTTTTTGTGAAATTTCAGCTCATTTGGAGATGTATAGAATAGGTATCTCTCACATAGCTTTTTCAGATCTGGAATTCCAGTTGCCGGCAATCTCCCTCTTCATGTAAATCTTGCAATTTAAGAGAGAAAATGCATTAGAATGGTACTACAAAGTATTATATTGGTCAAAAACATTATAAATAACAATAGGAAAACATGATGCAAAATGGACGTATTAGTCCCCTCGGTTGGTTCTTATTTGTATTTTTCTAATATTCCAAAACGGACAGAAATTATTTTGATGGAATTTTCAAAGTCGGTTTACTTACCGTATCACATACATACTCCTTCTCAGGGTTCTAAAGTGTTTCGGGAGGTCTCTCTTATGTGTTCTTTCCGTGTCATAGTTCGAACAATGTTAGTTTCAACATTAATAGGTGTACCTGAGATATAATGTTTAATTCTTTTTTCATTGGCTACCCTTGGATTAGTGCCCTCGGCATTATTGATCTCGATAGCTCTGGAATGATAAACTTCTTCGATAATATACAATCCTTCCCATTTAGAGAGAAGTTTTCCTACAAAGAATCTGAAACGAGATTTGTACAATAGAACATACTCACTCACTTTGAATTCTCATTTTTGAATTCTTTTATCATGCCAACTTTTAACTTTTTCTTTAAACAACTTGGCATTTTCATATGCTTGGGTTCTCCACTCATCTAACGAGCTAATATCAAATAACCTCTTTTCACCGGCATGTTTGAAATCATAGTTAAGTTATTTAATTGCCCAATATGCTTTATGTTCTAACTCAAGAGGTAAATGACATGTTTTCCATAAACCATTTTATTCGGAGACATTCCCATAGGATTCTTATACACAGTTCCATAAGCCAATAATGCATCATCAAGTTTCTTAGACCAATTCTTTCTAGATCTATTAACAGTCTTTTGCAAAATTAATTTGATTTTTGTATTGCTCAATTCAACTTGACAACTAGACTGAGGATGATAAGAAGATGCACTTCTATGGTTAACATCGTATTTAGCATGAAGTTTACGGGAAGTGCCATGAATAAAATGTGAACCACCATCAGTCATTAAATATCTAGGAACTCCAAACCTCGAGAAAATAACTTCTTTTAGCATTTTAATAGATGTGTTATGATCAGCACTACTAGTTGAAATAGCTTCTACCCACTTACTAACGTATTCAACAACAACTAGAATATGTTATACCCATTAGAGGAATTGAAGGTAAAGGTCCCACATAATCAAATCCCCAGACATCAAATGGTTCAATAATAAGAGAATAATTCATAGGCATTTCCTGACGTCTACCAATATTACTAATTTTTTGACATTCATCACAAGATAAGACAAACTTACGTGCATCCTTGAAGAGAGTAGAACAATAAAAGCTAGATTGTAATACCTTATGTGCGGTTCTATCTCCAACATGATGTCCTTCATATGCCTCAGAATGACACTTCCGTTGTGTTTGTTCCTATTCATGCTCAGGTACACAATGTCTAATAACATCATCTACTTCTTTATGAAGATGTGGGTCGTCTCAAAAGTAATGTCTTAAATCAAAGAATTTTTTCTTTTGTTGGTATGTAAAACTATGTGGTATATATTTAGTAACAATGTAATTAGCATAGTCTGCATACCATTGAGTATTACGAGAAGCATTTATAATAGCTAATTGTTCATCAGAAAGACTATCATTAATAGGCAGTGGGTTATCAAGAACATTTTCCATTCTAGACAAATTATCAGGTATGGAATTCTTAGCTCCCTTTCTATCAATTATATGCAAGTCAAATTCTTGTAGCAAAAGAACCCACCTAATCAACCTAAGTTTAGCATCTTTATTTTCCATAAGATATTTAATAGCAGCATGATCAATGTGAACAATTACTTTATAATCAACAATGTAAGAACTGAATTTATTACATGCAAACATAACTGCTAAAAATTATTTCTCAGTAGTAGCATAATTTCTTTGAGCATTGTCTAGAGTTTTACTAGCATAATGAATAACATTCGATTTCTTATCAACTCTTTGTCCTAGAACAACACCAACAGTATAATCAATAGCTTCACACATAATTTCAAATTGTAGGTTCCAATCAGATGGTTGAACAATGGATGCAGAGATTAATGTTTTCTTAAATATTTCAAAGGCTTCTACGCAATCATCATAAAAATGCAACATATTTTTGCAAGAGATTAGTAAGAGGCCTAGAAAATTTTATAGAAGTCTTTAATGAATCTTCTATAAAACCAACATGACCAAGAAAACTTCTTATACCTTTAATATCGTTAGGATATGTCATTTTCTCAATTGCATCAACTTTAGCTTTATCTACTTTAATACCTCGTTCAGAAATTTTATGCCCAAGCACTATACCTTCATTCACCATGAAGTGGCACTTCTCACAATTATAGAGAAGATTAGTTTCTTCATATCTGTGCAAACTCGATCAAGATTGCTTAAGCAATCATCAAAAGAAGTTTCGTAAACGGAAAAATCATCCACGAATATCTCAACAATCTTTTCATAAAAATCAGAGAATATAGCCGTCATACGTCTTTGAAGATAGCAGGTGCATTACATTAACCACAAGGCATACGAAAAAAGTATGTTAAAATCTATTAACATGGGATCTAATTTCAAAGATCTTGATGCCAGAAATCGAAAGGTGAAAATGATTCATGATTTGAACGCATGGTTTAAGAAATAAAACATTTAAAAAAATCTTTAAAAAAAGGAAAACTCCATGGTTGCGACAAGTGGCGTGCATGCAGTGCATCACTTGTCACCACCAGAGAAGGCGAGGGTGATCTTTGCAATGGATGCCCCTTAATTTAGTGATTTCGGGGAACGATTTCCCTCGGGGTACCTAGTGTCCAAAGGTATAAGCATATTCTGAACATCACCAAATGGGCTGGGCCCATTCACGTTTTCTCAACCTTTTTCTTCTGCTTCAACAAAGCACCAATCTAGATAGTACTCCCTCCGTTCTAAATATTTGTCTTTTTAGATATTTCAAATGGACTACCACAGACGGATGTATATAGACATAGTTTAGAGTGTGGATTCACTCATTTTGCTTCGCATGTAGTCACTTATTGAAATATCTAGAAAGACAAATATTTAGAAACGGGAGTACGTCTTATTATAGAACAACCATACCGTACTATTTATTTTTGTTGCGGAAACACTAATAGATTGTCGAATCAACTAGCGGCAAAGGATTAATTGGGATAGTCAAATTTGAGCTGCAAAAATATATATTCAGTATCAACGACACATAACAATAGTTCAACTATTTTCATTTGTCATTTGGATTTTAAACAGATTATGAGAAAACTCATTCGGATACGGCATGAAGAAAATGCAAAAAATATTTGGACCATGAGTTACTTTATTTTACATAGAGGGAGAAAGGGGTGGGTTTGAAGATGTTCTTTTACTATCTAAAATAATTGAAGCTTTGAAAAGATGTTGATAATATTCGATAGTTGCCTCAACTATTGTAGTTTGGTGTAACGTACTACCTCTGTAAACAAATGTAGGAAGTTTTTGCACTAAACGCGCACGCGCGCGCACAAGGGAAGTTAAGCACTACAAGAGGAGAGAATGAACTCCAACAAAAGGAAACCAATAATCCAATCAATCTAGAAAAGAGTACTCCCTCTATCCAGAATTAGTTGTTGCTCAAACAGATGTATCTAACACTATTTACGGACGGAGGAAGTATGTCCCATGGCACATCGTTCTGATCGACATCCTCCGTAGTACTCCCTCCGTTCGGAATTACTTGTCTCGGAAATGGATGTACGTTCTACATACATCCATTTCCGAGACAAGTAATTCCGAAAGGAGGGAGTAACTATGTAGTTCCCTGCAGTGCCTTTTATGTCACCAGCAGTTCAGACAATCAGGCATATTAGTGTCCTCAGGGTTGCTCTTTTGGGCCAGGGGATCCACCTCCCGTCCCCAGTATGCCAGTGGTGAAAGGTTCAACGGACGTTCGCAAACTTTCTGGCCCTTCTGCAGTAATCCTCTTGCACAATGCATCACAGTTACTTATTACTTCAGTTAACCTGCCCTTCAATTCACCAACTTCCACCTGCAGTGGATGAACTGCGAATAATTCATAATGCAATGTCAATGAATAGTTCCAGCTTCTCCATTGATTGTTCTATATCTATCTAATAAAACACTGCATTTGTTACCTTCAGCAAGATTGTGAGAGGTTGATCTCATCGAAGAAACAGAGTAATTGAACCGCTGGAGAAGTTTAACAGCCAATGCATCTGCCGTTTCTATCTTATTTTCTAGCTCTCCCTGCAATACATAAGAGCTCCTCTCTATAAAATGGTTGACAATGGAAGGCATGAATTGCAAATTTTACAATATCAAATCTCTTCAACTATGTTCTAAGTAATGGATAATTACCATGAGCACTTAGAATTGGTCAGTTAAGTTATGTATTGTACTTTCTAAGAGTATCCTTCAATATCTATTCTACTCTACAAGCATAGTGCGGTGCCAATGGTTTTATTAACTTGAATGGAGGGTTGTAGCAAAACCATCAGTTTAACATGTGATAGAAATATGACACAGGTGCTAAAATTCGCATCTCGAGAAACCAAGCTATGAACATCCTAAGTGTCAGCAAACAGAACAAGCACCAATTCATGAAGGATTATGTTATCTCCGACAGGAACAGAAGAAGATTTCTCAGCATTGATGAGTAGCCTGAAAGCCCTATATATCCTATCCAATTGCCACAATATAGCATGAGATGAGACGCAATTGCTTCCATAAGTTAAGTGAGAAATATCTTCTGCAAGTTACTGTCTCTTTATAAACAACATCAAAACAAATTTTGTACCTACCTGTCTTCCACTGATTTCCTTGGCCATCTCTTCTTGCCATTCACGGTACATAGCGAAAAGCTCAAACATCAGATTTGGACTCAAATTGCCTACAGATAATCACCAAGAAATGGATGAGCTCGTGCCAACACCTATGATAGATCCAACTAACTTGCTGCTAATTTTGGTCAGAGTATAGGTTTCCACAACGTCTTCTTCCCAATACTCTGACCAAAATTGCAGCATGCCGCTTACTCACCAGAGGCCGCCGAGGAGGAGCCGGAGGGTTTCCGTACAAGAATATCAGTGAAGCTGGTCTCCGTCTCCGAGCCCGCCGCTGGCTGACCGCTCAACAGCGGCGGGGCCTTCAAAATCCCCAATCAAAATGCTAAAATTAGCAGTAAAAAAACCACAGCGAGGAGAAAAGGACCGATGGATTCGTTTTCTTACGATGGTAAGTGACCGGATGCGGCGGAGGAGAGGGTCTTCGTTCGCGGCGTCGCGCCGGCCGTCGGATACCGTCGTGATCTCGTCCGCCCACTGCGGTCGCTGCTGCTGCGGCGGCTGCCTGGCCGGGAGAGACTCGGAAGCCCCCATGGGATGGGAGTTCGGTCGTGGCGGGGCCTATGAAGGAGAGGAAGGCGGGGAGCGCCCGGCGGGAGAAGCTGCCGGAGTTGGACGGAGGAGGCAACACCGCCACGGGGTCGCAGGCTTGCAGGGCCTATATCTCGCCTTCATCGAGTCCACCAGCTTCAGAGTTGCTGAAGGGGGAGCCAGATGGGCTGGCCCACACGCACGGCAGGCCACGGCCTTTTATGTTTTTTCTTTATACTTTATTTTGTAATTTTCATAATACTTTAAAATATGTTACAAAAAACACTCTTGAACACACATTTTAGAAATGTTGAACAAGCATTTGAAAAATATTGAATACGTATTAAAAATGTTGAACAATTATTTAAAAATGTTGAACAAGCATTCGGACAATGTTGAATGTGTATATAAAAAATGTTGATCACCTATTAAAAGAATGATGATTTTTTGTTCATGTATATAAAAATGTTAATTAAGCATTTAAAAAAATTGAAGAAGTATTTAAAAAATGTTAATCAAGCATTTGGGAGATGTTAAATGTGTATAGAAAATATACTGGTCATGTATTACATAAACTAGCAAGGTACACGTGCATTGCACGCATGAGATTTGTCAACCAAATTATCAATAAATACCACATTATAGCATGTAAGCTTTGAGTCATATATATGCAATGTAGATGTTTGTTAATTCTTATAGTTCATCTCATTCAAAATCAATTAGTTTTTATAAAAAAAACTAATCTATTTTAAAATTCATGGAATTGCGTGTTGTAAAGTATAAAGTAAAAAAACAAATAATGATGATTCATCTAGAAAAAAATGGCAATTATGATACGGTAGATTTTAGAACAAATGAGAAGTGCTTGTGTTTTGAGGTTTGTGCATTCTGCTTAAATTCAACGATGGAGCCTTCTAGATTGTACATGTGGCAAAATCTGGTGGAATGTAGATGATATCCAACGGCCAGTAGTGCTTGGATTTGCCATCTCTGCACCGTCGGATTGGTTTCATCCAACGACCATCTTTCAAAAGTATTCACACACTGTATAGGGGTATAGATGATGAATATTTTTTATCATGTATTTTAAAATGTTAATCAAGCATTTAAAAAAAGTTGAACAAGTGTTTGAAAAATGTTAATCAAGCGTTTGGAAAATATTAAATGTGTATAGAAAAAATGTTGACCATGTATTCAAAAAGTTTTAATATTTTTATTTTAAAACCATTAGTCAAGCATTTAAAAAATGTTTAAACATATATAAAATGTGTTAACCATGTACTAAATAAGTTGAAAATATTTAGGAAAAATGTTCACCATCTATTCAAAAATGTATAGAAATAGAAATAAGACAGAGAAAAAAGAAAATAAAAAATAAAACTAAAGAAGCAAATACAGAAGGGAAACCAAAAAAAGAGAAAGAAAACAAAGAAAAAGAAGAAAGAAAAGAAATATGGATAGAAACAATGAAAAACAAAGAGAAACCAAAACAAGAAACAAGAAAAAACGAAGTACAACAACAAAAAAAGAAACAGAAGAAGAAATAAGAAAATCAAACAAAAAACGGAGAAAACAAAACAAAAACAAAAATCCCTGCTATTTTCCTTCTAGTAGATCGCGGCCTGCTTATAAACATGAACATGCTGTTAGCTCAATGGCAACACGTTGGGCTTTTGGTTTTGGGAAGGCTTAAAATTTACGCATCCAGACCCAATAAGAATACCACTCGCGATAGGTGGCTATATGGCGTAATGGGCCGCGAGCCCACTCTGGCGATACATGGCACACTCTACTGAGCAGTTTTTTTTGGTTTGTTCATTTTTCTAGTCGATTTTGCTCCAAAACCTGGTTGTGTGAACTTTTCTTAAAAAGACTATAAATATATAAGGATCTATTAAAAATAGGAAATGGTTAAGAAACACAATTTGTTAAAAAAATATTCACTATGGCCTAAAAATATAGTCTATATTAGAAAAGTGTAGTGTATCATCGTCATCTCTACGTTTAATGCAGCAGTTGGTGAATAGTCTCCACGGTTTATTTTTACTGGTTTTTTTCGCTGGCTTTTTTGTCTCTCCTCCCACCACCCCCTCCCACCCTGGTCCATCAGTTTATTTTTCTCTCCACTCTTTATTACAACCAGAACTTTCCTAATGTATAACAAATCACGGATCTAACTTTCTTAAATTATGCAAATCAATCGATTCCTTTTATTGGTTCAATTTATCTTAGAAAACAAATAACAGATTTTCAGAAAACAAATAATATATTTTAATCTAACTTTTCCAACTTATCTAAATCAATCGATTTCTCTCATTAGTGAAATTTGTTTTAGGAAACAAATAACAGACACGTCACAAACTTTCCTCCCAATAAATAGTTTCTTAACATTTGCAAACTTTCTTAATCAGACACGTCACAAACGGGCAGGTACTGATATCACGTTACCAAATAATAAAACCCTATTTGCATAGAAATCAGTTCAAAATCATAACTTTTCTAAATTTTTACCTTTCCTTGATAACAACCAATATTTCCTATGTTTTACACCTATAGAAGGAAATCATCCCTCCATCAATATTAGCAATTTTTTTGAATGAGATCTTCAGGTTATGATTTTTTTTGCGATTCTTTCCAATTGTGACCTCTCCTTCCGCTCCGGCTCCTTCTCGCATAAACACCTCCACCACAGCCAGCTGACGCCACCCCATACCTCTTGCCTCTCCACACCTTCTCTGTCACCTCATTCTCGTACTCCATCGACAATCCCTCCGCCATGTTTGTCCATGGCGGTGTCGAGGACATGGCGCAGCAGCGTACCAGCGGTAGAGCAGCGCATAGCAGAAGGAAGCAACACGGAGCAGGCGAGGGCAAGCGGCCGATGTGGCTGAGGAGGCGGCCGGCAGAAGATGGCCGTGACAGGAGGGGGCGCGAGGCAGGGGCGCGACTGCGGGGCGCACGAAGGGATAGGCGGCAGCAGACGGGGCGAGCGCAGCTAGCAAGAGTGTGGCGCGTGGCCAGGGTGCGCGGGTCACAGTGGTGCGGTGGCTGCGGCGAGCGCGACGGCAGTGGAGGGCGCGATCGACGCGGTGTGGCACAGGCGTCCATATATGCTTTAAGGGTGTTGAGGTCATTATAGGAGTATTTAGATTGATGAAGTTTCTATCTGCTCTTTCTTTTTGTAAGGATTTCTCAAAATTGTCGATGAGTATTTAAATGATGAAGTTTCTATTTGGTATCACTTCATGTGAGGATATCCCAAAATTACCAAATCTAATATTATTTTAGCATGGCCTTTGGAAGTTCATGTGCACGTATTTTAGTGTATGACCCAATCTCATATTTTCTTCAAATTTATAGTGAAATGATGTTTCAATCAAGGTCGTTCTATATTGACCTACCTTGTGAAAAATATGCATAATGATTGTCTGTGTTTCTGATAAGCTGGAGCAGATGCACGATTGTACATGTACCGAATAAATGATGATGCAGGACCGCTTGTGGTTGTTTTTAGGGCACATAGTGTTGGCGTGGGGATTTTTTCATATGTTCTATACTAAGAATTTTTCATCTTATGCTTTGTACTAAGTTGGTTTTATAACTTGTGTGCTTATTTCACTAATGCATGCAGGAGTATCAAACAGTGATGGTGTGTTCTGTATACGATTTTGTTTGCTCCAATTCTATATATTCTCACGAGTAGATGAGGTGTAAGCATGTGCAATGTAGTTCCTTTTTCTACATATGGTGATTGATTTCTTCTTTGGTAACCCAACTAACGATGGTAATCAATCTTCAAATGCCAAAACCAATGTCACTTGATATGTATGAGAATATTAAATGTAATATTAACATAACTGATATTAAACTCTTAAAGTTAATGTGGCCCCGTTGCAACGCACGGGCGTTCTTCTAGTCATCGCTAATATTAAAGAGGAGTTGGTAGTCTCGCCTCACCTCCTCCTCCAGTCCTCCTGATGCTGGGTTTTCCTATTTTTTTCTCAATCGTTCTCACCATGAGTTTCCACTTTTTGGTCTTTTCCTCTTAGTTTGTTCGCCTCTACGTTATCAATTCTTACCAATTTTCTCATAAGCTGCCAGTTCGTGGAAAACAATTAACACTTGCCAATATTCTCATAAGTTGACAATTCTTAGAGAACAGTCAATACTTATAATTTTCAACTAAATGATATGCATCCAATTTTTGTTTGTTCCCTCTTTATTCATTCGCATCCCCATTAAGGCTTTGTTCGGTTAATCCTCTCTCCAAGAGGATTGGAGGGGATTGGCAGGGATTGATTCATATTTTGACTTAGAAGAGGTTTAAATCCCTCTTAAACCCCTTCAATCCATTCGGATTCACCCGCAACCGAACAAGGCCTAACGAATCATCATCACTTACCAATTTTCTCATAACTTGCCAACTCTTATAAAACAATCAACGCTTACCAAATCGTTTCAGCTGTTTTGGTCACCCGACCTTCCGTAAGAGATAAGAGTGCACTTCCCAGTTTCTTGCTCCTCTTACGATCCTCGCATACAAAACCATGAAAGAGAAAACGAAGTGGGAACAAGAAAAGAGAAAAAAGGTCGTGGAGAATCTGATCTGCATGTACCATCTGTTGAAGGAAAATGGAAGACACACACGAGATCGTCCACACAAAAAAGGCCACGCAAGATCAACTTGCCCGCTCGCCTTCCTCTTCTGTTTTGATCCCTTCTATCCCGTCACTACAACACACTCCTTCTCCCCAATGCGCGAGAAGTAGACCCGCTGAGGCGAGGTTGGGCATCCCAAAAGAGGTCGGATAGCATCGCCCGAGACCCCCCGAACGTCGGAAGTCTCCAGCTCGCACACGCAAGCATCAAGGTGACACTGTCAAGCACGAGCAATGCAGGAGATCGATCGATGGTGAAAATCGTGGAAGTCGCCTAGAAGGGGGAGGGGATAAATAGACGTTTTAAGATAATTATGGTTTAGGCTTGAACAAATGTGAAATAAA